AAATGTACCAGTAGAATAAAATTAAAAAATAATATGTGCTCTGGTAGATGTGAAGACATATTATTCTTTCAATTTAGAAATTTATCCTGGAACTCAGCTACCAGGTCCTTATTATTAAACTTATTATTAAACTGGGTGACGTTGTAAACAGACTTGTTGCTCTTATCTCCCAAACTCATTGGAATGTAGCTTTTGACAATTGGTTTATCAGTTGCCCATTGATATTACATTTGCTAAGAGAGCATCAGTTGATATTACATTTGCTAAGAGAGCATCAGTTGACCAGCATAGGATCTATACACAAGAATAAAGCTAAAATTCCTAATGAAATGTTGCAAGTTCAAAATAGATAATTGTATACTACAATCTTTGGATTTCAGAGAGACAAAACATTGGCCTGGCATATGACAAACAAAAACAAAGTGGTACTGCTGATGTCAGCATTGTACCATGATGGTAATATTGATAGAGATGAAGCTCATATAGGAAATAATACCAGAGATGAAATGTGAAATATTATATATCCCAACCTGTTAACTGTATGCTATGCTGAGCTCTTGTTCTCTAAAAATTGAAAAATGAATTCTAGAACAATGGAGGTAAAGAGTAGGAAGATATTTATTGATAGGAAAGCTCCTGAGAGGCAGGAGGGGTCCCAAGTGGGTAGTCTGGGACTCCACTTTACTGAGGAGTTTTGTAGAGCAATACCCACATGGATACAACACGGGCCACAGCCATGATCATTCAATAAGGTTACAAGAATAGTCACTTAGGTAATAGTGGTCCAATTGCGAAACAAGTCACATAACAAGTGTGGATGGAAAGAACAAAGACTTCTCCTAGGAAATGATGGGTCAAGAGGTCTCTAGTCACCCATGGGCGTGGCTGATGTCTATTTAGACTTCATTAGGCTCAGTGTTTGTCTTTTGAGGAAGTATGCAGGTCTGGCCATCTTGTCTTTATCTTGTTGACTGGTCTCTAACAGATGTCTTTGGCTGCAGCTGTGGTGTGTTTTACCTTTGTTCTGACTCTCTTGAGGACCTAGCCCTGTCTGACTGTCGATAATATTTCTATTTAACTCAGCTGTCTATAATAAAGCCAGAGATGGTAACGTTTTACAACAAAACCAAAAGATGGAGTAGATGTTGTTGATGAATTGTGTGGTAACTATGATATTACTTGAAACACAAAGTATTGGTCAATGATTGTGTTTTACTTGATCCTAAACATGTGTGGCAGAAATAGTTTCATAGTTTACAAAGAAAATAACAAGTACAAAATATCATAGATAAATTTTCTTAGAGAATTGGGACTGGAACTGATAAGGGAACAGTACAACAGAGGAAAAACAAAATGTTTCTACCCAAGGAACTATGCAAAAATATTCTGGAGCTGACATGTGAATACACAGGTGCAACATCACAAAGACCTACTAGGGTAATAGAAAAATCAAAAAGATGTAAACTGTGCCTTAAAAAAAGACAGGAAGGGCTGATGATTTAGCTCAGTGAAACTGTGCCTAGTTTGTAAGCTCAAGGTCCTGAGTTTGATCCCCAGTACCCCACCCTCCAAAAGACAGGAAAACAAAAGACATATGCTATGAGTGTAAGTGATACTTGTGTATGTAACATGCAGCTTTCATGGGTGAAGATTGCCTTGGTTGTTATGATTGAAGCAAAAATTATTTCTGTGATAGACTTTTGTGTTTTCATTTTAGTTCACATAGGAATTTATTTCTGCTATTATTTTTTAGGTTTTGTAAGCAAGTGAACAGTTGCTATGCATTTAAAACACTCATTACGTTTGATATTTAATTTTTTATTTTCCTACTATGTGCACATTGTTGTTGTTGTTAGGTTTTTTTGGTAATGCGGATTGAATATGTGCACATTGTATAATGTAGTAAGATGGTCCTGACAAAAGAAGACAAGAGAGATGTCAAGTATAGGCTGCCACACAGGAAAGGAAAGCTAAGCACACATACTGTCCATGTGAGTGAGACTTGTGTGTGGAACATGCAGTTGTCATGTGTGAAGACTTCCTTGGGTGTGACAATTGCAGCAAAGATTATTTCTGTGGTAGAGTTTTGTTTGTATTTTCATTGTATTTCACATAGGAATTTATTTCTGATGTTATTTTTTAGGTTTTATAAGCAAGTAAACAGTTGACATTGAAAATATTGATGTGTATTCCAAACACTCATTACATATTAAAATTTATTTTATTTTCCTGTTAAGTGCACATTGTTTAATATAACTCTCAAAATTAAAATTAATAATTCTTCAATACGATACTTCTAAAAAAATGGGGGCTTTATATGACCTCATAATGCACCTTTCAAAACAATTTGCTGTGATGCCCCTTAAGGACAAAGGGAAGTGTATTTGTCTGTAGTGTATACAGAGACAGGGTGGCCAGGGAAGGTCAAAGGCATTCTGCACCGTGGGGAAGCAGCAGCTTAAGGAAGCAGCTCCACTCTTGGAGCTAAGTAGCCAGAAACTACGCAGCTGCCCCCCTGAGCAGAGTGGAAGGGTGACAAGAACAGCTTCAGTCCTTTTATTTTCTAGATGCAGCAGAATTCCTAAAGGAAAGGTTCTGATCTAGAGGGACTTAATCATTTCTCAAACTCTTCAGTTTTGTTGTAGAGAGGTTCTCAGAACTCATTTATGCATTTTCTCTTTTCTCCAGAAGTTCCAAATGGAAACCAGTGTGTGCCTGGAATCCCATGGTGTTTGGCCCATTCTTTTTTTATTTGTTCTCTGAGCTTGTCTATTCTTTGCATATTATTTGAATTTTTCTTTATGCAGTTCACTTTCCTGTCCACATATCTTGGACTCTTGCTAACTAACAAAATTTTTCTCCCAGCTTTTTTTATGTAAAGAAGGAAGCTTGGCTGCCTTTAACGCTGTACCGGGAAAGAGAGTCTAAGAATATTTTGGTAGCTCTTAAAGACATTGTAGAACATTTAGGTACTCTGTCAGGCCATGTATTCTCCCCTATTCATCAGTCATCATCAGTGAAAGACTTGAGGTATGAGGTTGAAGCTGGGGATAGAGTGCGGTTGGTTTCGAGCAAGCAGGCGTAAGGTGGGGAGAAGGGAGGCAGAGCCAGGTGAAATGGAGGAAAAGCTTTACTGTGAGGCTTGGGGTAGGACACCTGATGAGCCAATCTGGCTGCCTTGTTCTATGTTTCATGGTTCCTCCAGGTGTGGGTCGCTCTGTAGGGCCCAGGATTCCATGATGTGGCTTTGGGCAACAGTCCCTCCAGGTGGCTACTTTATTATAGGGCGGAGCCTTGTGCTTCCTAGAGAGTCTGGTCTCTGGAAGAAAACGGTTTGATTGTCCCTTGGAAAGAAAGCCCTTTCACTTCAGTACCTAAAGCGAGGTGGCGGGTGAACTGTGGCAGGAATCTTGTTGTCCCCAGGCTGCCTGCTGGATGGCAGATCCCAAGTTCCCCTGCATTCGGAGGTGTGAGCGGATCTAGCAAGCTGTTCAGGAGGGTGCCTCTCCCGCTCGGCCCATCTCGCCCCACCCCAGCCTCCGCCCCAAGTGGGCGGAGCCTCCGTATTAAATTGCCAGAAGCACTGTCAGCGGCAGGGATTCGGCCAATGCAATGGGCGGCGGCCTTCCAGCCGGCCAATGACGCTTGGCAGGGATTAGGCTGGCCAGGTTGGTGCTGGCTTGGTGCTCCTGCAGCCAGTCAGAAGTTGGGGGAGGGGGGTCCTGAGGCTAGGCTTTGGAGAGGTCAGGGGCCTCAGCGTTTCACCTTCTGCAGGTGGGCGAGAGGGGCGCGTGGCGGCTGAGAGCCAGCTGCGGCAGGTCCGGGCAGTGTGCGCTCGGCTCGAGGCGCAGGGCTGCTCGAGGAGGCCTGGGCGGGATGGCTGAGGCGCCCGGCTCGGTCGAGGGGGCCGATGGAGCCGCTTTATTCAAAGGAAGACCGAGAGGAGGGCGCCGGGAACTGGGGAAGGGAGTGGGGTCTGGGGTCACGGGGCCTCGCCCCTCTCCTGTCGCGGCCTGGGAAAAATGGCCCAGGCCGAGCTGGACCTGTCAGGACCCTTGGTCCAGGGTGCGCAGACCCGCAGCGACGCCACGGCACTGGACAAGGTCTCTTGCCACTACTTTTTTAGGCGGAGCCTGGGGCCTCCCACCGCCCACTGCAACAAAAAACTGAATCCAGCCAACACCCGTGGAACATTTTTCAGGGGAGGAACCAGGGCAGGCTATCAGTATTGGTGTGTAGATTGCTTTAAGAACTGTTTCTGCAGCTCGCAGGGCCGCTGTAGATTCCAGGCTTCAGGAAAACCATATTTCTCGGTAGGGACTTATTACAATATGTGGGGTGGGAGTGGGAGTACACTGGCTTTTTTCTTTTTCTTCCTGTTTTTTTGGAGACAGGGTTTCCATATGTCGCCCAAGATGGCTCTAACTCATAATCCTCCTGCCTCAGCATACTGAGTTTAAAGGCATATACCACTGTGAACCCCGGTTTGAGTTTCCTCCATGTAAAATGAAGACACAGTATTCTCATAGTGACCACTGCTTTCAAAGGGGTATTGTGAGTTACAGGATGTGACATCTCTTTGAGGTGGAAAGCAAAAGCAAGCATATGGAAGGAGAGCTGGGCTTCTGGGGACTTGCGCTGGCCATGATTTGAGAGAATGTTGGTGAAACCCAGGGAAGCTATGCTTACCTTGAATTCTGTGGCATCTGAAGCCTGACCAGTTTGCATCACTTCTTGGCTGTGTAAACCTTCCTGCAAGTTGCTTAGCCTCTTTGTTCTTTGTTCCACATACTTAAAATGGGATTGATGATACCAGTCTTACAAGGCTGTTGGTGAGTTTTAGATAAAATATGTAGAGTGCCTGGAATAGTTTCCAGTATGTAGCAGTTTGATTACTATTACCTTCGCTGGCCTTCTTTCCCCCTAGAAATTCAGAACTGCAGGATTATGACCTTATTACTTATCCCTTGCTCAGAAGTCCTTAGCCTATTGCCAGTGAGCGTGCAGGCCTGTGTTTTATCACATCATTCACTTGACCTGAAGGTGCAGTGTAATTACGTGTGCCTAGAGGCTTTCTGCTGGGTGTTTTATTAAATAAGGTTGCAAAGTATCCTTATGCTAAGTCATTCATTCCCTCTGAGCTGTGTGGGTAAGTGAAACCTGAGAACCACGTTGGCTCTCTTTTTTCATTGGGGGATACTTCATTTCCAGTCCTACTTGGCTTGGGCAGTTTAGTTTGGACACAGTACCAAAAAGGCTATGATTGCAGCATAGTTGGTTTGTCATGTTTCCCGAATGGCTGTGGGACTCAGAAGGGGGAATTTCTGAGCAGCCTGGCAGCACTTCCTGTTGAGGAATAGGGAAGCTTGGTAGGAATCTAATGTTCCTTCTGCTAGGAAATCAGTGTGGTCCCTCGCATTACTCTCCAGAGCTCGTAAGCAGCTTTGGTTCATTTTTGACTCGGGGAAGTGAAGGTTAAAGACCGGTGTCCGCAAAGCAGGATCTGTGTGGTTTGACACTCAGCCCAAAGAGGTTGGGTGTCTCCTGCTGAATCCAACATCTTTATTTTTTGTCTCGTCACCCTCCCCATATATATAATTGTCTGTGGACAGTTGATTCCCTTTCTATGGGCTTAAAAATCCCTCTCAGTTTCTCCCGGTGCTGTCTGGGTGACTCCAGTGGAAGACTGTTTTGTCTTCCCATTCTTCCTTTGCAAAGAAGCCACTGTGGTATTATTAGGAAGTGATCACAAAATAAGAAGCTGACTTTCTGAAAGAGAGTACCATTTGCTGCAACAGCGTGCCCCCCAGATTTGGCTGAAGTACAGATGGTGTAAGTTTAGTTATTTAGCTTTGGACTATCACAGAGTAGCAGTTCTTCAGGCTTGAAAATTGGCTGTGGCCTGGAGAGAGTGGAGGAAAGTGCTTTTGAAAGCTCTCTACAACGTGTGCTTGAATGAGGAAGGGAGGGAGTTGTGCCTCTAAGGTGTTGAGTGTTTGAAGCTGAAGGGAAGGTTGTGGCCCTAATAATGTCATTATCAAAATTGACCAGGAATGACAAAAATACACTTATTTAAATTCCTCTTACATTTAGGTGAGAATAATTTACAATTTCTAATGTAAGGACAAAGTTTCCAGTAAAGATATACGTTTGGAAATTAGGGTTCTCATTCTTGTGCTCTGTGCTGGTAGTTCTTGTATGGGGTTCTTATTTGTTTTGGTCTCAGCTCTAGTAATCTGGTATTTGTTAAAACTCCTAGGTAAAGAAAGGAGAAGGCTACAAATTAGCTATTAAAATTTTGTCAGATTCCAAGAGCAGAAGGAGACACATATAAGACTGGAGAATCAGGGGCTGGGGATTTAGCTCAGTGGTTTCACCGCCTGCTGTGCAAGCACAAGTACCCGAGTTTAATCCCCACTACCAAAAAAAAAAAAAAAAAAGACTGGAGAATCTTGTAGTATATGTTGTCTGTTTTTACATATAATTTTTTCTTAATGCCAGGTCTCATTATACACTCCAGGCTAACTTTGACCTTGCTATGCAGTCCTCAAATTTGCATTCTTTCTGCCTCAGCATGGTGAGTATCTGGGATTACAGGTGTGTGCAATCCTACCTGGCTTGAAATTTATAATAAGGGATTCTCTTCTTCTAATAGAGAAAAGTCTATGAAATTGTTCATGGAACTTGAGATTTTGTCCAGGATAGAGGTGTCAGTGCAAGAGACCAGATTTGTCTCCCAAAGGGAAACGTGGCACTGTAAAGTCTTGTTAGAAGGAAGTGTGCCGGAAGCTCTCAGGCTAACAGTTGGGAGCAACAAAGGACCAAGATATAGGCACTGGAAGTAAGACT